AAAGAGTTAGTTTTTTTGATGTTTTATTTTAATGATAATAAAATGGCCAGGGATTTAACTAAAAAGTATTAGTGTAGGAAGCTGTAGTCCGGAACAGTTGTGTAAATGGTGTATGGCAAAGAGAAGAACGTAATTTAAGTCGCTTCCCTTTCGTTCATGGTATAACGTTTGTTGCCACATTTTTGGTAACTCCTGATTCCATACTGGTGAGTTTTTACTGTAAATTTTCTTTATTTTTGATGCTCTATTTACGTCATTAGCTCATAAACAATGCAGCGATCTTACAGTATGATATGGCAGAAGATTAAGCTTGTTATTCGCTTCTTTTTAAGCAAAAAGTTGTTTGCTGTTCTGTTGATAAGAAAACTTTAAGGTTACTGTTGACGGAGATCATTTAGCAAGGTTTTATTACCGGAATGACGTTGCACCTGACAAAGTGGATAAAATAGTCACTAATGGTGATTTATCTATATCATCGTTTCGGCTTTACAAAGCAGGTGACAATTGGAAAGGAGCAAAATAGTTTTTACTACTTTGTTGGTCAAGTAAGAGGATTTTTTTAATTATTAAAGGAACTTGTGAGTCTCCTCTTTAGATGCTGTTTCTTCTGGATTAGTGGTTTACAGATTTTTGATTATTTTATAGCTATTTCAAATTTCATTTCTTTTTTTTTTTTCTGTAATTTTGTTCTTTGCGGCTCTTTGTTCATTTGTGTTTACGTTGCATTGTTTGTTTTTCTGAAACCAGACTTTAATTCATGACGAGCTGATAATGCTAGCTAATATGGGGTATCGGTTTCGACTGTATTCTATGCCCTATTTAAGACATTATTAAACAGTCGTATTTTGAGTAATCACTACTGATGTATTAAACAGTCATATTTTGAGTAATCACTATATTTTCTCGTTTGAACCAAAAATCGTGATTCGTTCTGTGATATTTGTTTATTTCGACTTTTACAGCGATTGTAAACCACGAAACTTTGATTGTGTTCAGTTGTTTAAACAAGAAAATTTTTTATGTCAGTAAAAATTTTGTGAAACATTGTTTTTGTAAGGAACAGATAACTTAATGCTGCTTTTTATGAGCTTTAGGACGGATTATGTAGCCGATAAATTTGTAAAGGACGAATAGTTTCTTGTATTTTATGGCACTAAAGTTCAGTTTAGAAAATCTAAGGTTGTAAATTTATGTTTGTCGATTATATTGACGGGTTTTTACTTGAATTAGCTGCATGAGCACAGTAGCATTGTTATCGAAATTCTTGATGGTACAAAAAGCAAGATAAAAAATTTTTCAGGTCAGTTTTATTTTAAAAAATAAATTTTTGCAGCTGCTGCAAACAGGGTCTATTTTTTACACTGGCATAAAACGTTTCTACTAGTTATTACCAAAAACAACAGTTCCTTTGTTATTATTATTCTTTACCTTCATTTTTTTATTAGAAATGTTGGTCATTGATTGTTCATTGTTCATTTTTGAAACTTTACCGGTTCTATTTAGTGAAATATATAATTGCACATGGCAGGAAGTGCATTTTGCTCTGTCTTTATCTTTGTTTCTTTTTTTTAAATTAATTTGTGGTTTCAAGAGATTTTTGAAAGGGCTTTGGTGAGTTAGGTTCTTTGTGGTTACAGTGATTCGTTTTCACATCCTAATTCGCCAAAGGTTCAAAACCAAGTGTATTATTTTAAAGAAATAAATGCAATTGAGCGATAATTGCAGTAATATTTGATCAGTTATGATATTCAGCAAAAAAAGCCATTTCAATGGGTTCTGGAGGACAGTCGAGAAAAATGTTTTCCTCCACTTTACTAATCAGTTTTTTCCTTCATTGCTAAAGCTTGTTGGACATCCGAACTACGTTTTTTATAGCTCCACAAGAACAGTTTTTGTTGTTGTTTTTGCTGCTGGTAGTCAACACGGCATTCTTTACTGTTGTGCAGTTGAAATAGGCTGAGAGTGTTAAACTTTAGACAAAAGTTACACTGATTTTGTTGTTATTCGAAAGATCACAAGGTTAGTAGCAGTTTTCCAAGACGTTCTTCAGAAATACGATACCACTTCATGTTGTTGGTGTTGGTTATTGTCTCGTTGGTCTTGTCATTAACTTTTTCAGGAACAAAGATTTCTGGGCACCAATGTCGGTTGAATGCTTGGATAGCGTTTTTGGTGTCCTGATCGTAGACGTACGTCACCGCAAGGCTACCAGAATATCCCCACCTAAAAATTAAAAAAAAAAGCTCTTTTTTTAGTATATTCGTGGTCATCTATCTAAAATTAAGTTTTTTGGTTGAAAAATGTTTTAAACTTCTCACTTGTAATACATTCTGGTAAAGTGCTTGCCGTTTAGTTTTTTAAGCGGGTTACTTGATTTTAAGGACTGACTCATAGTTGAATTGTTGCGCTTTTACGCATCATTTGAAAATGGTTCTACAGATCTACTTGCCATGACGGCACTGCAGAGAGATGATTAATTTTGTGTGTAAAAACCTCAGTTTTTCAGATGCTGTCAAGTCTCAAACTGTCAGTTCTGTTTTGAAATTTCCAGATCTGAATTAGCGACGCTGCGTTTCTATTTAATATATTTACAGCTTTCTGTTGCCAGAGGCGCTTAACAGATTTTGCTGATCTACTACAGCTACTGAAACACTTTTAAAGATGAAAAGGAAAAACGAACTGTCGTAGACGAGTCTGTACACTAGAAAGTTGCTGAGAATCGTAGTTGCTCTCACTCATTAGGACAGTTTTTTGTTGTTCTTTGGTCAACGATGTTGGCCATATGTCCTTATAATAACCCAGTTGATCATAATAATACTTCCAGTCAAAGTATCCGCTTGGATCATTTTTGCCATGAGGATTTATGTCACAGTGGCCGACAATATTATGTGGATCAATATGCCAACGACTTATCATCAAACGGCTCCACGCAATAACTCCATCCATCTACAGAAGAAAAAAATAAAATAAAAAACCTAATATACATTACGGATGAGAGGAGAACGGAGAAAATTACTAAAACAATTTAGGGTCAAGTAGTACGCTCTAGTCGCTAGTCTAAATGTTACAAGGGAGATTACTACTGCAAAACCTGTGCTCTTGGGAACGGTTCAGAGCCGGTATTAACAATTTCACATCCCACGCTATGACTGTTCATATCGCTTGTCTCACCCCAATGACTTGGTCCAGCATGCCATGCTCGGTAATAATCATGAACCATTTGGTACATGGTTCCATTTTTTTCAGCAATATACTGCACAGACAAACCGTGATCGTTCAGAATATATAAGGTTTCTGCTGCCGAAGTGGTAACCGTATGATGAAGAACAAGGAATTCCACGGGCACACAACGGTCTCTCTGATAATTACTTGTTGTTTTTGTCCAGTCTACCAGCGTTACATTGCTCCATGAAGACAACTGCAACTCATTAATGAAATTAAGATTCTTAAGTTTGATTTTCAGTCATAAGATGAGCCAAAAATAAACAGTAGTTGGTGAACACATTTAAGTGATTATTGTAATGATCAAACTGTTAGTTTTGATCACATTTGTCTTCTGTTACTGTCTGTTAATTATGTCATTAGTGAAGAAAAAGGGAGAATTAATTGCAAAAAAGGATTTCAAATCAAAACAATTTCTTATTTTTTTTTTATATTTATCAAAAAGAAAAAATTTCTATTCTAATTAAAGAGTTTTTAGCTTGCTGATTGTATAAAAAGGAACAGTATTTTGCATTAGTACACCATTGTTGAAGAGCGACCAATCCAGATTTGTAAAACCTGGTTTAACAAATGATTTTCATGATTATTGGTTAAAAACTAAATTTGTTTAAAATTAACAGCGCAAAAAGCCAAAGAATTGATCAAATTTGGATTACTTACCGGTCCATCGCAGCTTCCGATGTCAATACAAGTTCTTTGAACAGATTCACTGTTTTGCGCAACATCCAAGTGAATCTTACGGTACTGACAGTTTACCATCGTTTTACAAGAAGTGACATCCGCAGACGACGAATATTCACCACATTCTTTGATGAGGTGTTCCAAGAAAACTGCATCTGTTGTTGGTCCGTTGTCACTGTACCAGGTTTTTGCTGCAGATACAGTCATCTTGCAAATGTTGCATGTTGTTGCACCTTGCTAAAAATGATTCGAATTAAACACAGATTTAACAAAATTTTTTAGCAAAATTTTGTTTTATTTATCAAAATAACATTCGTTTTGAATTTTCAGCATAAACGCATACACCGTTGCTATTAATTAAACAGTAAAACGATTCTTTTTGTTTATGTTTAGAAAAAATTGAAATATGCAAAAAATTTCAATCTCTAATATATCAAAATTCGGCATATTTTTATTTTTTTAAGTAGAATACAGATAAAATGCTGAAAAACAAAAATAATTTATCTTTTTTTTTTTTTGTGTGCTTACAAAAGTTTGCTACATCAGTAAACTTTCAAAAGATTTAAATTTCGAGTAGTAAGCCACTTTTTGTTTCACCCTTCCTTCTTTTCATTATTCTATAATTTATCAGTGAATGAAACAGAGTCTACAACAGTCAGCTTAATTTTACTTTTTAGCCACATTTCTAAAACACTTTTTTAAATATATAACCACAAAAATTTAAAACCGATAAAAAAGATTTACCGCTAATCCTAGGTAGAACAAAAAGACAATAGCAGTAAGCTTCATGGTTGCAGAAAAAATACAATTAGAAAGAGGTTTTGTCAAATAAATAATGAACAAGACGTTATCATAGGCTTCCTAGTTTGTGATTCTTTTTTTTTGGCTTTTATGACAGTGAAAATTTTGATGTATTGTAGCTTCTGATTGATGCCATATGTTGTAGAAGATACAAGCGTAATTTTTCTGGTTTTTTTAACTTATAGTTCATCACAAAGATCAACAAGTTTTTGACCACCTTTTTATACGATCTGTTCCGTTCAAGATAAATAGGCCACAAACACCAACACAGATACACGGGTACACACGGAACATACATAAATATTCTATAAGCAAACACTCGGGTACCAAAATACGCAGCAGTCGACCGCCAGTGGTTTATCACATTACAGTAAATTTTTGTTTTTTTAAAATATATCTACAAATCTGACTTTCGTAACAGTGCCTTAATTTAGATAATACAAAAACTATTTTCAGCTTT